CTCGCCTATTGCTCCTTATATTTCAACTTTCTTGTCACTCTAGTGTTGCTCCTCTCCCCTTTATATTTCACCGGTGTCCCCCCCTCCTCCTCCTCCTCCTCCTCCTCCTCCTCCTCCTCCTCCTTCTACTACTCTCTTTCTACTACAACCTCTACTTCTTTGTCGCCGTCGCCCCCGTTGTCTAATTCCTTCTCCTCTTTTTCTTCTTCTTCCCTCCCTCTCCTCCCCCTCCTCCTCCCTCTCCTCTCTCCCTCCTCTCCCATCTCCTCCAACCCCTCCTCTACACCCCCCCTCCTCCCACTCTCCTTCCTCCCCGGGAGCGGCCACGCACACAAAAAAAAATATATAACCGAATAAACAAACAAAAAAAAAAAAAAATAAATAAGTAAATAAACGTACGTAAATAAATAAAAGTTGCTGCACTGCATCGCCTCGCGTCCAACTCCAAAATCCAACCAACTCCCAGGATATTTAATTACAAGGAGTCTGGTCTGCATTCATACTCCAGGGATCCAATTTTGCCTTGGGGAGGGGGCGCGGAGGGGCGGAGGGAGGGGGCGGAGGGGAGTGGAGGAAAGAAGGAAGACGATAGGGAGGGAGGGTGAGGGGAGGGGGGAGAGAAGAGAGGGGAGACAAGAAAGGGTAGGAGAGACGAGGCAAAGAGAGAGGGGAGAGAGGACAAAGGGATGGAGAGAGGGGAAAGAGAAATGAGAAAGCGGTGAGGGAGAGGGGAAAGGGGAGAGGCGGAGTGAGGAGGAGGAAAGGGAAAAGGGAGCGGGGAAAGGGGAATGGAGAGGAGAAAGGGGAATGGAGAGGAGAAAGGGAAAAAGAGGAAAGGAAAGAGAGGATACGGGAAGGAAAAGTCGAAAAAAGAAGAAAGCAGGGAACTAGAAGAGAGGGGCGAGGGAGAGAGGGAGAGAGAGGGAGAGGGGAGAGGGAGAGGGAGGGAGGGAGGAGAAGGGAGAGAGGGAGAGAGAGAGAGAGAGAGAGAGAGAGAGAGAGAAGAGAGAAGAGAGAAGAGAGAGAGAGAGAGAGAGAGAGAGAGAGAGAGAGAGAGAGAGAGAGACAGACAGAGAGAGAGAGACAGAAGGAGAGGGGAGAGGCAAGAGGCTGGGGAGAGGGGGAGGAGGGGAGGGGGAGAGGTCAGCTGGGTTATAACCAGTAACTCAGATTCCACATGGACTTTATTTCTGCCAGACAGGAGGAACCAGAGAATGCGGAGCGGGGCAAAGGGGATCTCTCTTTTCTCGAGAATATTAATAATAAACCTGGCTTTTAAATGGACCCAGCAGAGCTTCAGAGCTTCAGGATTCCTCTCTCACCTCAATGGGCGGGCTCGGGGGTAGGGGGGAGGGGTGGCGGGTCCAGGAAGGGGGTGGGGGAGGGAGGGGGGGGGTGAAGCCGTCCGCACAAAAAAAAAAAAAAAAAAAAAAAAAAAAACGCCATTAATTTTTACCTTCGGATACATTTGTCCTTCGTTCCGCCTATTTTCTATCTAAACCACTTCCCATTTACTCTTTCCTGCGTTCCTCGTTCCTCGTCCAAAACTATCACGCTGCCCCGTATTTTAGTTCGATGCCCGAAGGAAAAATATACATTCGATATAATTATCTATATATATTATCTATATATTATCTATAATATATTATCTATATATATATATCTATATATATATCTATATATTATCTATACATGTTAACTGAGGGTCACATTAGAGGAACTTCCCAACCACAGATAGAGAAAAAAGTCCGGTTCTTACCGTTCTTCCTCCCCATTCCCTCCCATCCCTACCCCCCCCGCCCCCTCGCTCATCCTACCACGTGAAGGAGAGTCGAGAACGCAGCGAGCGTCCGGATACGGGAGGCGTCCGGATACCGCGTCCGATAAGGATCCGGATAGGGGAAGCGTCCGGATACGGGAGGGCGTCCGGATAAGGGAAGCGTCCGGATACGGGACGTCCGGATAAAGCGTCCGGATACGGGAAGCGTCCGGATACGGGAAGCGTCCGGATAAGGGAAGCGTCCGGATACGGGAAGCGTCCGGATAAGGGAAGCGTCCGGATACGGGAAGCGTCCGGATACGGGAAGCGTCCGGATAAGGGAAGCGATAAGGGAAGCGTCCGGATACGGGAAGCGATAAAAGCGCGGATACGGGAAGCGTCCGGAGGGAATACAGGGAAGCGTCCGCGATAAGGGAAGCGTCCGGGGAAGCGTCCGGATACGGGAAGCGTCCGGATAAGGGAAGCGTCCGGATACGGGATATCTAAGGGGAAGCGTCCGGATACGGGAAGCGGCGGATCCCGGCTAGGACGCGCGGACGCAGGGGAACACATCCTACTGCCGCTAGCGGTTCAAGCGATATCCTAAAAGGATTTCCCAGAAGGATATATTGACGTCTAACCCGTGTAAAACCACGAAATCTGACAGGATTTCAGAAGGATATATTGACGTTAACCCCGTGTAAAAACACGAAATCTGACGACAAAATCGCGAAGAAAATCGGGCACAAATCACAATTTTCCCCATCACACCTTGCAATCTTCACGGATAAATGTAAAGCAATACGACCACGCGATATTTCTCGTCCGACTCGTTTTCCGAAAGGATCGAAAACGTCCCGCGGCGATGTCTCCTCGACCCGGATGTCCGATTCGGCGGGAAATCCGGTCACGGGAGCGAGCCGGCGGCCACGGGAGCGCGTGTCCGTGATCCGAAGTCGGTTGCGGGGAATCGAATAAGCGACAAGTATCTGTTATTCATGACATGCTATGGGGAGACACGCGTGCTGCACACGCGCAAGGACACACACACACAGTACAGTGAACCATAGACATGGATATATATATATATATATATATATATTATATATATATATATATATATATATATAGAGAGAGAGAGAGAGAGAGAGAGAGAGAGAGAGAGAGAGAGAGAAGAGAGAGAGAGAGAGAGAGAGAGAGAGAGAAGAGAGAGGAGAGAGAGAGAGAGAGAGAGAGAGAGAGAGAGAGAGAGAGAGAGAGAGAGAGAGAGAGAGAGAGAGAGAGAGAGAGAGAGAGAGAGAGAGAGAGAGAGAGAGAGAGAGAGAGAGAGAGAGAGAGAGAGAGAGAGAGAGAGAGAGAGAGAGAGAGAGAGACAACAGATACAGACCCAGACCTATCTCGCAGCAGAGGGCGCGGAAACGGCGGCCAGCCCGCGTCGAGCGCCCGCAAAGCGTGCCCGCGCGCGACACGTGTGATCACAGCCTCGGCGGAAGTACTTTACATGTTCGGACTTCCGGTGCGGTAATTGCGGTATTCTCTTTCACCCTCTCGCCTTTCTCTCGGCCGGCCGCGGGCGTGGGGCAGCATCCGAGTCATTCGCCGCCGGTGGCCATTCTGTCAATCTTCCTGTCCTCCAGATCTGGGTCTTTTTGGTTTTTCTCTCTCTCTTTCTCTTTTCTCTCTTCTCTTCTCTCTCTCTCTCTCTCTCTCTCTCTCTCTCTCTCTCTCTCTCTCTCTCTCTCTCTCTCTCTCTCTCTCTCTCTCTCTCTTCTATCTCACTAAAAAAAAAAAAATTAAGAAAAACCCAGCATTTAGAGGAACATTATAAACAAAACAATTACAATTCAACCGTTTCGTTTCGCCACACACACACACACACACACACACACACACACACACACACACACACACACACACACACACACACACACACACACACACACACACACACACACACCACACACACACACGCACACACACACACACACGAAGCGAATTAAAGTTATCATCATCAGTAAGTGATTCTATTAATGACTCCTTTGCATTGCAAACTGTGATTAAATCATAAGGTTTTCCACAGGTTTATATATTCATGAAAAATTTCTTTTCTATTAGCATTGCCATTTACCCAATTATAAAACCAAAGCATTAGCGTAACACAAAAATAAAACAGCAATAATAATAATAATAATAATAATAATAATAATAATAATAATAATAATCACAATAATAATACAACAATAAAATATAGAATAAATAAATAATAAATACATTAGATTAAAAAGGCCTGTTTTAGACTGGAAGTCCTTTTCGCAATGGTCGCTAATATAAAATGACTAACGAATCAGAACTTGTTTGACGTTTTATGTTTCCCAGAATTTAATAAAAGTAACATAATTTGGGATTGAAGCCAGAATAGAAAACGAGAAATAAAGATATTTCCTTCCCTTGACGATTTTATTTTTTTCTATATACATGTTTCAGAAATTCTAGATTTTCATTGCAAGATGTAGGTCGAGTAATTATAAAATTGTTCTTACACAATCCGAAGTGTAAATAGCTGTTCTGCATTCAAGTAAGCCAAAGAGAATATAAAAACCATATTCACAAATAACAATCCATTTTTACGAACAAAAATGACAAACGAAAATCATGCGAAACCATGATGATTTCCTCCCAACCTTCGCTCTCATCGCACTATCTCATCCCCACTCCGCGAAATTCACTTCCACTTTGTTCACTTCCACTTTGTTCACTTCCACTTTGTTTACGATCACGAGATGTCTAAGAATCCAGTGTATGACCTTGGCGGAAGACGATGAGTCACGTTATGTATGAGCAATTCCATTTGTGCATATCATCATGGTGGAAAGGTTGACTGGACTCTTCTAACACTTCTTTATTCAACAGTATCCAGAAGAGTTTTAACTTCTAAATGTGCAGCAGCATAATGCGACTGAGTGGTAAATAAGCTATTGACCTAATATCTGCAGACTTTTACTCCGAACATAGTAATTCAATGCAATTACAATTTTACAACACATTCTAAATGTTTGAATACACAAAAAAAAAGCCATTGACCGCAATAGGACGAGAGAATGCTCAGTCTGTTAATTAAAGAACGTACATCAATTGCATCTTCAAATTACATGAAATCGAATCCTTATTTGCCCTCTGTTCACTTGCAACAATTGTCATTTACTTCATCAAAATCTAAACAGGTGAAATAAAGGGTACTGACCTTATATAGACGACTTGACCATTGTTGATGACTCTCCTCCATCCAAACGGAACAACAAGGGGCATGAAATTCTTGCTGTCAGCTGGTGGATGTACAGCAGGAGTGCCTGCTGGCATGGCACCACACATAGTGTTGATGACACCTACTGGTGGTCCACCTGAGCCAGCCATCAAGTTGGTGTGTGCCATGTTAGCTCCAGCCATCTTGGCACCAACAGGCACCATGGCCATGTTTCCCTGCATGGCACCTCCCATCATGACTGCTTGCTGCTGCTGTTCAGGTGTCATGCCTCCACCCATCATGTGTTGTTGCATGCCCCCTTGCATGCCCATCAGGTTGCCATGACCTCCATTCTGCCCTCCCATCACTAGGTTACACTGATTCATCACTTCTTGTCCATGACCTGCGTGGTACTGATTTACATTCATGTTTCCACTCTGCGGCTGTGGAATGTTCATTGCTTGTCCTTGCATCATATTCATGTTCTGACCCTGCATCACATTCATTCCTGGCTGTCCTGTCACCATGCTCATGCCTTGTCCTTGCATCACATTCGCATTATGGGTTGCAATGTTCTGTCCTTGCATGATCTGTCCATGCATCATATTGGTCCCCTGACCCTGTACCATCCCCCCAGCCTGCATCATACCCAATCTCTGCATATTGTTCACACACATGCCTTGGTTCTGTGGCATTACGTTCATATTCTGGCCCTGTACATATTGGTATTGCTGCTGCATTATCTGCAACTGTCCCCCCTGCATCTGTACATGCTGCACTGTGTTCACTTGGTGAAAGGCTTGTACAATATTTTGATTATTGTACACACCAGTTTGATTCATTCCGCTCACATTACTACCACCACCAGACGACTGACCAGCCATGTAATTTGGATAACAGTTGTAACTATTTGGGTTCACTGCTTGCATATGGTTGTTCATATACTGTGCATTGTTCATAACCTGGTATTGCTGATTGTTGGTGAACTGACTGTTAGCCTGCTGTTGGTGTTGGTGCTGCTGTTGCTGCTGTTGCTGCTGCTGTTGCTGTTGCTGTTGCTGCTGCTGCTGCTGCTGCTGCTGCTGCTGTTGCTGACTATGTTCTATCTGACTATCTGAGCTCAGACTACTGCAACTTGACTCTGCCGTTTCTGATCTCACCGAGTCACACCGGGAACTAGTTCTTGGTCGAGCAACGACCATATTATTATTGTTATTATTCATAGCTGCATTATTATTATTACTGTTATTGTTACTATTATTATTATTGTTGTTATTATTATTGTTACTAGCAGCCATCTGATTATTCATCATTTGTGCATTGCACATTATTGCAGAGTTGTTGTTCATGGTGCCATTGCTAACTTGCATCATAACACCATTCTGCACGTAACCATTCATGGAACCCATCACGTTAACATTAACTTGATTTTGTAAATGCTGCTGCTGCTGCTGCTGCTGCTGCTGTTGTTGCTGATGCTGTAACTGTTGTTGATTCATTGCTCTTGTTTGCTGCTGCTGTTGCTGCTGAGGCTGTTGTTGCTGCTGCTGTTGCGGCGCCTGTTGTTGCTGTTGCTGATGTTGCTGCTGTTGTTGCTGCTGCATATTGTGTTGCTGCATTTGTTGTGACTGCTCTGATGCATGAACAGTAACTGTGGTAACATAGTTGCCACCAGGAAGGTACTGCAGCTGCTGAGGAGCCTGGCTCGTTGGGAAGCAGTTTGTCGCTCCCTCAACTCCATTCATTTTATTCATAAGGAACTGCTGTTGCTGCTGAAGGCTGTCGTTCATCTGCATACCATAGTGAGACTGTTGCTGTTGTTGCTTGCTTGCTGTTTGTTGTTGTTGCTGCTGCTGATGCAACGGGTTGGCCACCCTGAAGCCATTGACCATGTGGGGGTTGGTTGGTTTGACCGGGTGAGGGGTGATCATGGCACGAGGAGGCACCTGCGCCCCTCCCGGCCCCCCACCCCCCTCGCCTGCCACATATACCACCACATTGTGCGGCGGCTGCAGCTTACCACCGCCGCTCTCTACTGCCGCTGCTGCTGCTGATGCCTGGGACATGCTGGACTGGCCCCATCTGCACCATCACGGGTCTGAGGGGAAGGCACCATGTTAATATTCCATTAACCATAATGGGAAGGGGAAAAACAAAAAAGGAGAACAAATTCCATGACATGCATTTGAGTATTAATGTATGTCAAGAGGCAATAAATGACAAAAATGCATATTAGTGATGATAATATTGAGGATGAAAACAATAAATCTAAAAACATCATCAAAATAATAATAACACTGATAATAATAATGATAATAATATCTATAATGATCACGAGGATGATGATAATAACAATAATTTCATAATTGAAAATTTATAACAATAAAGATGATAATAGTAATAGTAATAATACTAATAATAGTAATGAATAACAGTAATAGAAAAAAATCAAATAACTGATAAATAAAAACTAATTAATAACAGCTATAGCAATAACAAAACAATAAAAATAATGCTGATGACATATCATCAAAAATAATAAAAATAATAACAATAATAATTATATTATATTATTATTATTATTATTTAATTATAATAATTGTCACTGTTATATATTCAACATAAATAATAATAATAATATATAAAAATAAAACAATAATAATAATAATAATAATTAACAATAATAATAATATATAACAAATAAAACAATAATAAATATTACAGTAGTAGTAGTAGTAGTAGTAGTATAGTAGTAGTAGTAGTTGTAGTAGTAGTAGTAGTAGTAGTAGTAGTAGTAGTAGTAGTAGTAGTAGTAGTAGTAGTAGTAGTAGTAGTAGTAAGTAGTAAAGTAGTGTAGTAGCAGTACAGTAGGCAGTAGCAGTAGTAGTATATAGTATAGTAGTAGCAGTAGTAATAGTAGTGGTATGGTAGTAGCAGCATTAGCATAATGACAATAAAATAATAATAATAATTAATAATAATAAAATTATAGTATATAAAACAAAAATAAATTGAGAAAAATAATATAAAATGAGAATAATTAATAATAAAATAACATAATAATAATAATAAAATAATAATGATACACAATAAAATAATAAATAAACTAATAATAATAATAATAACAATGATGAAGGTAGTGGTAGAAGTCTTAGCATTATCATTAGTAGTAGTAGTAGTAGTAGAGTAGTAGTATAGCAGTAGTAGTAGTAGTAATAGTAGTAATTAGTAGTATAGAGTAATAGCATAATAGTAGTAGTAATAGCATAATAGTAGTAGCAGTCTAAATAGTAGTAGTAGTAGTAGTACTAGTAATAGTAGCAGTCTTAATAGTAGTAATAGTGGTAGTAGTAGTAGTAGTAATGATAACAATAATCTTAATAATGATAATAATGATAATAATAACAACAGTAAACACTTTCCTTATTCTAATTATCATTAATGTTATAATCATCAACTTACAAAATACAATTATCTTTCCCTCCATTATACAAACATGGTTACTTTCCCTTTCAATATCACATTTACAATTTTCCTTAATAATCAGAGAGAGAGGGAGAGAGGAGAGGAGAGAGAGAGAGAGAGAGAAGAGAGAGAGAGAGAGAGAGAGAGAGAGAGAGAGAGAGAGAGAGAGAGAGAGAGAGAGAGAGAGAGAGAGAGAGAGAGAGAGAGAGGAGGAGAGAGAGAGAGAGAGAGGGGGAAGAGAGGGAGAGGAGAGGGAGAAGGAGGAGAGGGAGAGAAGGAGAGGAAGAGAGAGAGAGAGAGAGGAGAGAAGGGAGAGAGGGAGAGAGGAGAGAGGGATGATGGAGGGAGAGGAGGAGAGAGAGGGAAGAGGGAGAAGGGGAGACAGGGAGAGAATGGAGAGAGGGGAGGATTTTTTAGGGGAAGAGGGGAAGATTGTTGGGTGGGGGAAAGAGGTTTTTGTGAAGAGGTCTGGGTTTGTATTTTTGCTGTGTTTGGAGTTTGGAGGGTTTTTAGGGGTGGGGTGAGGGGTGTGTTGGTGAGAGGGGTGGGAGGATGTGTGGGTAGGTGGATAAAGAGAGATTGAGAGGGTATGGAGGAGAGGTTTTGGAGTTAAGGAGTTAGGAGGTTAGAGAGGAGAGAGGGATGGAGGTATTGGGAGAGAGGAGAGAAGAAGAGATTGATGATGTGAGAGAGTATGATGAGAGTAGAGATGTATGTGAGAGAGTATTTTGAGAGAAGGAGTAGGTTTTTGTGAGAGATGGTGTAGAGAGTAGATGGGAGAATTTTTTTAGAGAGAGGTTGAGATAGATTTTTTGAGGAGGGAGATGAGAGGGGAGGAGAAGAAGAAGAGAGAGACGGGGAGAGAGAGAATTTGTGTGAGAGAGGAGGAGTAGATTTTTGTTTTTGTGAGAGAAGGGTAGAGAGGGTGATGTAGAGTAGATGATGTTTTGACGGATGAGAGTATGAGGAAGAGAGAGGGATGTTATGAGAAGAGAGAGAGAGAGATTGGATTGGTGATGTAGAGGTGGAGTTTATGTGGAGTTGTGATGGAGAGGTTGGATGAATGAGTTAGTGTAGGAGAGAAGAGAGAGATGAGTAGAGAGAGGTGATGGTTTTTTGTATTTTTTGTTATGAGATGGTGATGGATGTGTTGTGTGTGTATAGTGAGTTGGATGATGATAGATGGAGAGTAGTACATGTTTTTTTTTTATGTATATTGTGGGAGAGAGATGGAGATGAGAGAGCGAGAGGTTGTAGTAGAGATGGGATGGTGAGGTGTATAGTGAAAGTAGTGAGTGATGGTGAAGGAATGTTGTATTATTTTTTTTTGGTTGGTGTGTGGTGTGGTGTTTGTGTGGTGTGTTTTTTATTTTTTTTTATTTTATGATGTTATAGAGGGAGAGGTGGAGTAAAATTATCATAACATGTTTTTTTCAGTCAATCAATTCTACAATTACGCTATAGGCCTAATCAACACTATACATGCCATCATGTACATACAGCACCATACATATCAGGGTGAACTTGTTGTGTTGCAACAATACTTGCTTATCTGTTTTGAGGTTTGTTTGGGTTATGTTTTTTATTTATATGGAGGACACGATTGAGCGAGGGTTTGTGCAAATTATGATATACCATATTACTTTGTATTATGATAATCTTTTAGCATCAAAAGCAGTATATCCCTTCTGCTATAATGATAAGTTACTTTTTTTTGCTTTCCTCTAATGACTACATCAGACCTTTTTTTTTTTGCGCCAATTTCTTTTTTGCTTGCAGCGACAATCTTGTCATCTTGCCCTAAATACATACAGTATTCACATCAAAAGCAAATTCAAATTACGGCGTGTCTATCAAATGGGGCTCCATATACCCAAAGTGACTCTGTCGACACCATTCCCTGTGTCCGAGCTTGAGGTGCAAAGTTTGTAATTATATCAATACAGTTATTCAAATCAGGGCTTTCTGCATGCTTAATTTTTATATAAAAAAAAAAAAAATAAATAAAAAAAAATATGATTAATGCTGTTTCCCCAAACAAATAGATATTTACTTCCAATTTTCATTTTTCCTTCACCTTTTTTAATGCTAAAATATTCTTAACAGCAAGTTACTGTTGATATAAAGTTGTGTGATAGACAAACATATTCAAAATTCTAATCTTTACAATCAGCATAACAGATAAAGTCATAGTAATGCATAAAGATAATGATTGTAATGCTTGTAATCAATCAATCAGTCTATCTATCTGTCAGCTCATGTTTCTGTCTCTGTCTAAAGACAAAAGACCAAGGTCAACATACTTCCTATGCTTTTAGGCCTACATTATCAACTTTAATAGGCTTTTTTTATTCCTATAAAAATCACTGCCCTTTCAAAATATATCTTTATAACAAAATAATGAATCATTAACCAAGCCTCAAATCTGGGTAGCTAAATACTCCTACCAACAATAGGATTAAATTACAAACTTTTACAAATGTACATCTAAAATGTGCAGAGTTTGGTGTAAAAAATAAAGAAACGTCCAAGGTGATTTGTGTGTGCACAGTATACAACCTCGTCACGAACTGTCTTACCACCTATCCAAAATTCCCTCGTATGAAATATTAATAAAAAACAAACCCTTTCAAACCCAGTGCACGCTCAAAATGAGATACATCAGATGGCCTCAATTACGTGGCTTCATCAGAATCAATGTTAATGATCTCCTTAAGCTAATGTTATGCGATCAGGAGTCCCAAGTGGCCTCTTTAGGAGTTTTCTCACAATTACTCTTTGGCAAACTCACTATTAGATCCTACTGCAGTGGGATCCAGTGCAATTATTTGAGATTGCTTCTTCCTCCCCCTTATACACACTTGTAATACAGGGGAAGGTTTTTGGTCATTATCACAAATCACTGTTATCTATCATCCTCTTGTCTCTTTCCTTTGGCTTCATCTCTTCTCTTTTTCTTACTGAAAATATCATCTTTGTCATAATCATATTTTTATTCTACTGAATGTGTCTGCAAAATTTATTACCATATGTTCTCTCTCCACAGAATACCAGCATTGCTTAAGTATACTTGTGGCTCTTCTGTCAGAGTTAAAATCCTATATCAACTCTAATCTAGTATGCATATCTGATATTTTCCTGACTTTTTGTCTAATCTTTGTATTTTTTTTGTTTTGTTTTTTAATCTGCATATAAAAATATCCATACTTAATATTTTCCAAAATCCTCTTTTGATACCTAAACAGGTATAATTGAACTCTATGTACCCAGTAATAAAATATCATGTTCACTTCATAATATTACTACTTACTCAATTTGAGGTCAACATTTACAGGTATGACCTACTCTATAATAAAGTCGAGCTTCTCTGGCTGGTGTGTCAGGAGCAAAGTGGTAAAACTCAATCAAAATAGAAAAACTAAAGAAAAAAATAAGGGAAGAAACAGATTCAAGTAGTTGATAACTTCCAAATCATAAACCTTTTCAATATTTATGATATCTCTAGGTATATTTCAGTCAAGAACTATATTATGTAACTGACACTTGTAAAGCAACTTCAGGTCTTTATAGTTGTATCAGCTGAATTAAATTTAGAAATATATGACATTAAAACCTTTCATTCAACCAATAAGCCTACATCTATGCCTTTTTCCTATCAGAAGGAATATGCCAATACCATTTATTCCATGAATTTGATCATTAATGTCTTTGTTAAATAACAATATTATCAATCTTTTTTTTTACTACTTAGTAACTCATTTAATGCATCACTAGGCCTACCTCCATTTTAGTAATGCAAATCATCTGTGCCGATGCAAGTTATGATGTCTAAAAAATACACGTGAAAATATTTTTATTGTTTTTTGCCCCTGATGGCACTGATTATGTGCAATAATTCATTTTCTGTTTTTCATCTTTCTACCCGAAATGTCTAGTTATAATTGGTCACCTGAATTTTCTTGCCAACATATCTTTCAACGACACACAATTCACATCTGTAAAATATACTTAGATTCCTAATAGATACAGAAATATCTAGCACAGTGAAAAATATTGCTGACTATGTAACGCTAACATCAACGCCAACAAAAGTATATTCCAACAATAAAAAGTGTATATATACAGGGAAAAGCATCCTTCACTGCTGATAATTCTTTCACAGAGGTTAATCTATTCAATTTCCTGTTAGCTTTGCTCCGGTTTCCTCTGTCCTGAAGGGTTACCACATACTCAATTGTAGAATTCCTCTTCAAAATAAATAAACAATCGTATATACTTCTACATATAAATTTTAACAGAAACAGAGCAATTCCAAGATTAAAGTATCTGCAAACCTCATCATATATATTCATAAGCATTGCAATAAAAAAAAAAATGATGCTTACATAAAATGATATATAATAAAAAGTCCTGTGATAGCGTTCTGACTTACAGTCCACTATACCTTTTGATATTTAATTTTTCTGCAATCAAAATGTCATTAATCTCCTTACTCTGAGGCTAGAGAGTGCTCTCATCATATGTCCACATCTATAATAGGGTTAACACATAATTCCTAGTAAGTTGGTCTACTCTATAAATTCCAAAAGTTCCTGGGAATTCATTCCATTTCATATAGTTACAAGAATAAGTGTAGTGAATTTACTATGAAAAGTCTGTGGTGACAAAACCGTTTACGCAATTACAAATAACGTTTATTTTGAAGAGACCAACGGTAATATAAAGTCAAAAATGTAGTACGACACTACTCCATCAGTACAATATAGATTTATACATCACATCTATCCCTAATATCACCAATACATCAAGCTGAAAACCCATTGACTGATGCAAGAGGAAAGAATGAAAGGAAAGTCCTTGTAAATATCTGGTAATGAGGCGTGTCAACTAAGTTTCTAAGAGAGGATCATTACAACATTTTCCTAGGATGACATAAGTAAATCTACTACAGAAAAGTATAAAAATACTTGTATAATTCCCATAAAAATAAAATAACTATAAAAAATGAATATTAAAGAAAGAAAAAGCTCTTACAAATCTACTGCTATTTTTGTCTGTATGAGATACCTATATCCAGGTGGATGTGGTTATATCACAAGTAAGAGCCATTTAAACACACATATCTAAGCTCTTTCCTGTGGTAACATGACCATGCTTAACATTACATGCGTCTTGCTAAACTAAACCCACAATTCACGTGACTATATCAAACCTATATAAAATTCATGTTAATAGCCTAAAGTTTAAAAACACTTTCAGTCCATCAACTGCACAACCTTTAAAGTATACTTCCCCTTTAAATGCATGGGTAATCCAAAGCGTTATTATACATCATTAATCATTTGTCACAGCACTAATTCAGGACAATAAAAAGTACATTTATTATATGCGACATTTTGCATAAATACACATCCACTTTCCTCTCCATTTCAGTCAAAGTAAGTCATCAGGATCAAGAGAAAAGTATAGTTATGAAAGTACTTGTTGACGGAATTTTTTATCAACTTTATATGAAGTGCAATCAAAAGTGCATCCTTCCAAAGCAATCTGTTATACGCAAATATAAATAGACAAATGGCCTATAACATAAATAGTAATGACTTGAAAGACAATAAACTACAACAAAAAAAAAAAACAATGACAAAAATAATGAAAATAATAATGATAATGATAATGTTAATGATGATGACTAACTACCTTAACAAAAGCAGTCATTAAGCTTTGCATACAACAAGATACAAAATTTTGTCCTATGATATCTGGACTGTTCCACAACAGTTACATGACAGTTGCAGAAATGTAGAAATCCAGAGAAAAAATCACTGTGCCTCTAGACTGTTCCTACAACTATTGCAAAAAAAAATCACAAGGTGTGTGACTTAGTATCTTGGAGTGTATTATCATTAATATTAATATCAACAAATAAAAATAACAACAATTCCCCCCCCAAAAAAGACTATACGTTATATAAGACACAACAGAAAAAGTGATTGAATCTCATGACCTTTCCCAGAGACGACAAACCCTGTTAATTAGTAACGGGAGTTCTCTCATTAACTAATAAGCATCAAAGCAACTGCCACGATACTTATTAAAGTAACCATATAACAATAACAATAATAATAATAATAATAATAATAACAATAACAATAAAATAATAATAATAGCAATTATAATAAAATGATGATGACATCAATAATAACAACAATGAATATAATAACATTAAAATACCAAATTAATAATGAGCTAATGATTTCTCAGAAAAATAAAGAGTAGGAATTTCAACAATAACTATAATAATGAAGATGATGATATCAAAGAGAATTATTAAATAATAATAATAATAATAATAATAATAATAATAAAATAACAACAAAAACAACAATAACAATAATAATAAAAATAGCAATAATATAAATAATAATAACAATACGAACAACAACAATAATAATAATAGGGACAGTAGCTTATTAATAATAATAATAATAACAATGATAATAGTAATAATAAGAGTAAAAATGTTAGTGATAATGATAATAATAATAAGTGATAATCATTATCAGAATAATAACTATAATGATTATGATAATGATAATGTTAATGATAATAATAAATAAATTGATAATAATAAAAAAATTAACAATAACAATAATAATGATGTTGAATAACAACAATAAATCAAAGCAATTATAAACAATAACAATAATATTAATAAGAAATTATAACAATAACAATAATCATAATAATCATAACCATGATACTGCCACTAATAATAATAACGATAATAAAATAATAATAACAATGATAATAATAATAATAATAATAACAACAACAACAATAATAGCAATATTAATCATAATTATAACCATAACCATGATACTACTACTAATAATAATGATAATAAAAATAATAACAACAATAATGATAATAACAACATCATCATCATCATAATAATAATAACAATGATGATGATGTTAATAATAATAATAATAATAACAATAATAATATAATAAATAATAATAATAATAATAATAATAATAATAATAATAATAATAATAATAACAGTAAAAATAATAATAATAATGATAGTAATAACAGTAATAATAATAATGATAATAATAACAATAATGATGGTAATAATAATAATGGTAGTATCATTAACTTTAATAGTAATAATGTTAATAATAATATATAATAACAATAATGACAATGATGATGATAATAGTAATAGTATTAATAGTAATTATAATAATAATGATAATGATAATGATAATAATAATAAACAATAACAACAAACAACAATAATAATAATAATAATAATAATAATAATAATAATAATAATAATAATAATAATAATAATAACGATAACAATAACAATAATAATAATGATAATATTCATATTAACTTCAATAATCCTAATCAAAATAAAAAAACATCAACAGTAATAATAATGATAAAAGATAATAAATAATAATTATAATAATAATAATAATAATAATAATAATAATAATAATATTAGCAACAACAACAATAACAATAACAACAAAAATAACACAAATAATAATATCATAGTAATAATAGTGCAAGTCATAACAGTTATAGAAGAAAACAATAATAATGAGAATTTTACTACTAACTATACTTACAAGAATATGAAAAAACAACAGTAAATTTTGCAATTAAAAAGTAATAACAGTAACAGCACTAGTAATATTGAAAATAGAGTTAAAGGAATAATAACAGCATTATAAAAAAAAAAACAGCAATGGTCATTGTGGTAAATAAACAAATAACAAAAATGATTATAACTTGCTTCCAACAACAGCTGGTGAAGATAAGACCAGAGAAAAAAAAACAAGTAAACAAAATCCAAAAGTGGTTATTAAAAGCTGTAGATGAATCTTCATGATTCATTGAAAAAATAAATTGAACTGTATCTGCAAAAACATTGAGAGTTGTTCAACGCTGCACTACAATGCTCAGTGTAATTATTCAAAATAAACTTTTAATCCAACATGAATTAGCAATGAACTGTTTTGAAGTATTTAATCATTAGCTCCATTATCAATTCACCCTCGACCTATGTTCAAGTTTTCTCTTTGAGTCTGCTTATGGCAAGCTGTTTTCCAACATGTGTGCAAGTAAACAAGTTGCAGATGCATATTTAAAAACCTTCATAAATCAAGGGACAATTTACATGCATTTGCAACATGTGGCAGCCATGCCAGCCTGGCTCTCCTCGCCAAGTTTCGCCTTATTTTTCAGTGACAGTCAAGGGAATGGTCGTAACTAGGCAAAACAAGTCTCAAATCACGATATTCAGGTAAACATGCACATAACATGACCTCCCAGCCCACCTGTCCAGGTCATCTGCGACCTCTATCCTGCATGACCCTATGTGAGGTGACCGCAAATAAGCCTCTACGGGGTTAGTGTTAATGGAGGGACAGTGAATCCCTCACGTGGGCAGCATGAAGCCCGTTTGCAACTGCATGGGTGTATGGGAGAGGAGTGACAACCCTTTCCTCACCTGTGCTCCTCAGCTGGTTTCTTGCATGTCTTGGCCTGGCCCGGAGCCTCCTTTTCTCTGGGGAGTCTGACAGCTCCTCAGACTCGATGCACAGCTGTTGGCGACGACAGTGACAGCTGGAGATAACACCAAAGTTACCACAGCAGCAGCCACAGAAGGGAAAACTTGCGACTCAACATAACACATCACAGTGATTATCCTCAACACTCATAATCGCCCCCAGGTAACCACATAATTAACATTTGCATACTTAACACCTATGCACACCTATACGACACTGGTATCACTTGCTATTTCTCCAAATCGCCTTTCAACACGTAAGAACGGGTGTCGGCGTGATCATCGTGACACGAGTAGCGCGCATCTTAACAGTAATAAAGCAAGTCCACAACTGCGCTGGAGAAGATGGCAGCTGATTACCCATAATGCCATCTGCGCAGTACACGCCACAACTCACACCCTCGCGCGCAACACTCACACACACACGCACACACACACACACGCGCACACACACGCTCACTCGCTCTCCCGCTCTCTCTCTATCCAACACATACTACCCTTTACTTTACTACCCTTCTCTCCCCTCTTTCTCTCTTTCTCTCTCTTTTTTGGCCCTCCAGGATGTTTTAGTAGGATTCCCGTCCCAGCGCGGGTCGTTCAAAATGCATGCGGGACAAGAGGTGTGCTCAGGTCGCAAGGAGTTTCATGCATCTAGTGTTGCTTGCTTATCGATTTTAACGGTAAAGTGTGGTGGTGCTCCTGCGATTTGAAGGTATAGAGCCTTGCCGGATGTGCACTAAAGACGTGGCGAAATGTGAGGTTTATTCACTCGTTGTTTGTATAAAGCTGTTTTTTTTCTCTGGTCGGGAAATGCGCCGTGGAATTGTTCGGAGGTAACTCGTGTTTGACCATTTTGGACGGAAAAGCTACAGGAGTTATTCATTTATTCGATTTACGTAACTCGTGTAATAAGGATACGCGTGCTAAAACTAGAATGTATCGTGATTTAGTCAGTACTTGAAATAGTGAATAGATAAGGATATTCAGCAAAGATTGAACGGCTACGGCAGTTACAAGCGACCTATTCAAATTATGTAAGTGAAAGACAGATTGCACAAGGACCTTTCATTAACACATTCCTAAGCAACTAAACTTTGAATAGTCTTGGGTCGTACAAGGAGCGCTAAACAAATGTGAGCATGCAGAGTCACCCTAGTAAATGATGTTCAGTGACAGCATGTATCGAGTGCTTTACAAGTCATGAAAGTTTAATGTATGACGCACTTGCTGTATCATTTATCAGGAGACACTCAATAAATCAGGGATACTGGCATATAAAGGTGTATATATCTGGTTAATAGCAGATTCAGATGAGAAATAGTGAGGCAAAGTTTTTTTTTCTTAACTTTAATACTGTCAAATAAAACATTGATCGGGTCACTTTACACGAAACCACATCTACACCGTTCTGACGCAGTTACTAAACATAACAGGTTTTTAAGAGGTATTTGAAGTTGGGTGTTAATTCTGAAGCATGTTCGGGGAAGATGTCAATTACACTAAACGCTCCAAACCGCCGAGTAGTTCTGGACCCGCGTGGTTGATATTCAAGCTTCATTACCTTAGAATTAATTAAAGAAGACCTTCGTATAAATGTACCTAAGTCGACAGAGCTTAATACTGTATGCGACTACTAATTAGAAATGTAAATTGACCTCCATTTTAGCGTTACTTTACAACGCAGGTCACGCGGACTTACGGCAGGCTTACGAGCTTATAAACTCGATGGAACACCGCTATCATGCACTTTCCACTTTCGGCTTCACGCAATGCGATATTCTTATGCAAGTTCTTAATCGATTTCTTAACTGAAGGCTCCTTGGCGTCGAGTACGTTGCTTTTATGAATATGCATTCCAGAAAATGTTTTCTATTTGTATTTTATACTATTATTTTAGAACGATAACGTGTTTATAGTATATTGTGAACTTGATTAATACCTTTAGTAGTATCAGTCCCATTACATTAAACCATTGTAGTTACTCAAGAAATAATCAAAATATGGCGAAGAGACAAAAACTTCATAAGTACCCGCTATATTTTGTGCTTGCTTAATCAACTACTGCTTACCTACGATGCGGTATTTGATACTATCGCAGCAGTGCAGTCCAGTCCCGTAACATTAGCTAGCTGAGAGGGATCAGCGGACTAATGAATGCGATTGCGACTGCGAACCCTCCTTAAGCCACGAGTAGTAATCTGCGCTTTACCTTGAAATGGCAAATCGACCTCTCGTGGATTCGCTAGACCTTCAGGACCCATAAGTGAAGTTCATTACCAGCCCATTCTGAACTATAACAAAGGGTCTGCTTAATAATCAGTTGACGACTGCACGTGTCAGGGGAACTTACAGCTAAAACCTCATTCCTCGAGCTTTAGTAAGAGTGGCCATGCAAGTTGGACTTACTTTGCCATGGGAATACTTACTTTACCGGTGACATATGGATTAGGGAGATTGGTCGTATTAATTAATTTACATCGGCAACTCGCTAAAACATTTTGGAGTCGGAGTTCATTACACATATGAATTCACATCAGTAACATTAATTTTACTAAAGAACACATTTATTGCTTATTATCAAAACTACTTCTGATGAGTTAACTAATCATATTTTCCAAGATAACAAGGGTGGCCTTTCTTCGCACTCTTTTGAGGCATGGAAAGAAAATTGGTGTATGAAGGGATAATTGGTCTAAACTAGAATCCTGACTAAACCAACCTTGACTAATACCTTTAGTAGTACCAGTCCCATTACATTAAACCATTGTAGTTAACTAAAGAAATAATCAAAATATGGTGAAGTGATAAAAACTCCATAAGTACTCGCTATATTTTGTGCTTAATTTTACCGCTGAAACTTGGATTAGGATATTGCGATGCGGGGCTATAGGGCTTTATACTTTAACCTAAACAAGACTTTTGATTCCTCTTTAAACACCTGTCCTGAAACTCAGCATAGCTACAGACACAAGTTAATATAAAGTCTTGATTTTTATGTAATAGTAAGCATAAGTGACACATTCCATGATTTTGCTGATTTTCAAGATTATTTCTTGAAAAGCGGCACAAACTCCATTTCCGCGGATTTCTTGTTATGAACAATCTCCAAAGAACAATAGATTTACAGTCTTCTCTGTGTAGATTTAAACACTCTAAAGTCACAAAATGATGAGTGCAAAAAAGAATACTGGGGAGACTGCAAAATGTTTGAATAATTAGACCCCACAATCTGGGTAGTATCAGCCTTACCTTAATCCTACCTATATTTGCACTCAAGTGTTAGCTAGCGGGAGCAGACTAATTGATTTATTTTTGTTCTTTGGATTCATTCCAAACGTAAATCAGATTTCTGGACATTTACCTGGTTATTTAGTATATGGCAGTGGCACCTATTTCAGAGCTAAAGAACACCTTAACCATAGGCTGTTATCAATTACCCTGTACTTGAACTATGATATTTTACTGGTATTTTTAAATATATTACCCCAAATATACTTTAATAATAATGTAAGCATTTAGTATTAACAGTTCATGACTTTCCTCGGAAACTTCGCAGCAGTGGTTCCCAACATTGATTAGGTTGTGGCCCCCGACCAAGATATAATAATCTCCATGGCCACGTTCAGTGATTGTCATCTTTTCAGTTTCAGTTTGTACTAATTATAAAGTGTAATGGTGTCAGTGGCTCTATGACAAGAACAATTTATGGAAAAATTCCAGTGCCTTGATATGTACGAAATAATTGTATGTAGGTTATGAGATTAAATTCAGTTTATTTCGACGTCGTAATTTTCAAATTGCTCGATGGCTCCTTAAAAAGTACTCCATGGCGCCCCTGGGGGTCATGGCCCCCATATTGAAAACCCCTGCTCTACAGTTACAGATGCAGAAAATAGTGACAGACTATAATTATATATTTTGTCAGTCACAAAACATCGGGCTTTTACCAAACTGGTCGCCGTAACCATTTCTTAGGACAGACTCAACTAGTTCATTGAGGTCGCTTATTTTTCTCAAGGAAGCTCTTTTCCTTCATAAAACAAAATTTTTGGGTGTACCTCAGGAACAGTCCTTATAGCTCAAGCTTTCTTTTTATGTATATCATTGACCTATTAGAGAGGGAGATGGATGAGAGGGAGAGAGAGAGAGAGAGAGGAAAGAGAGAGAGAGAGAGAGAGAGAGAGAGAGAGAGAGAGAGAGAGAGAGAGAGAGAGAGAGAGAGAGAGAGAGAGAGAGACTGATAAATAAAGGCAGGCAGATAGACAGACGGACGCAGACAAAGACACAAATATAAAGACAGAGAGAAACATATTTTGAACATAGCAATGGACACCGGCAATGAATTTACAAAGAATAGCTTATTATCCATAACAGGTCGAGTTTCCAATGACTTTGAACGATCAGAAGCCTCGTGGTAGATGACTTTCCCACCGGACAATATATCATCACGCCCGTCAGTCATACTTAAGGTGCTGTCACACTAGCTCTTTTTCCGTCAATCTTTGACAATTTTCTGAAATTTTGTCAATTTTTGAGCGAATTGTCGATTTTCCAGTCAGACGATAACGATCGTTTCCGTCTGAAAACCTTAGCGTCAACTTTTTCAGCCAAGCATACTCAAATCAAGAGATATATTCGAGAATGTTTGTATTGATGTTAAATAAAATTGTCAAAATATAGACTGAAAAAGTGCTAGTGTGACAGCATCTTTACACACCCTGCAAAAATCTTACAATTACCCTCGGCCTACACCTATGCGATCCATTTACCCAAACGTAATCGACGCCATGGATAATACAGTACCACACGGGATACATTTAATTCTAATGCTATCATCTGAACTTGCAGTTTGCTCTAAATAGACTACCTGGAGTTTAGCGTAAATGTTTCACACGCCACTGAATTAAAATACGTCAAATAAGTAATGCATACACGCCGGAGGATGTACTGAATCACAGTATTAAACTAATAACGTGAGATTAAAAGGCAGCTCAACAATAAGTTTGTTTTACTCCTTTTACTGGTACCATTTCATGTTAACACCTTGACTTCTTCACATATGGAATACAAAGCGAATATCCCAACCCTTCTATAACACCTGAACTCCCGCGCAATCCTCGTAATTGTGCCCAGGTGTCCAGTCCTCACTTATATTTCTATATAGTAATTGCACAGGGAAGGTGGAAGTGAAATTGAAATTGTTTTTTTCTACAAGTTGTATGAATAATATGTATAGACTCATGATCAAAGTTTTCGGTGTATAAATAAACCGTCCAAGTGTTTTTTTTTTTCTTCTTTTTACCGTTTACAGCATGTTATGAAGTAAAATCAAAGTTACACTATGAAAGATTTATATCTAGTAAATAAACACTAAAATAAAAAAATGGAAAATGTAGCAAGGAGCCTTAGTTGTTAGTTCCAAATAACGCATCTAAATCATTTACTGGTAATTCCAGATGAGGAAAAGGCCAGGTGTACATTTGCTGATATATGGGCGCGACTGTCAAAGCGGTTGTTTGGCATAGTGTAATATACTTATGTTTAATATTACTTTAATATTCAACTAATATATTTACTGCTCCATATCAATCATTTTTGCAGTGACTACTAAATGTGATATTTAAAATAGCAACAAATTCCTGCATTAAAACTCTCTTTGCACACTTTTATTTTTTTCATCACAAACCTGAATTAACCTGAAATTTTGAAGTACTGAACCTGTTACTTGTTAATATCTTTTTTAGGTTCACATTTTGCCATTGCCTTCCAGTTAAACTGTTCATCGAACCTAATAAATTACCAATATAAGCATTATCAGAATAAATAGATGATCCTGTTTTCAAGGTTTCTGCTGACTTTCTGTTATCACAGTAAGCATTATCAGAATAATGATCCTCCTGATCAGTTTCGAGGTTTCTGCTGATTTTCTTTTCAGATTAAAGTAATGGGGTTCAAGTGCCACTGATATCTAATATGCTGCACTTTGAACCTGTAAATTTACTATACTGGATTGAATGTGATTGAAATGTAAATATGAACTAATTCAGTAATTTATGAAATTTATATTTATATTGTGTTGCATTTTCATCACCAATAAACGGTAAATTTTAGATGATTATGCTTGACATACAATTTTGCAATTCACTTAACATTTACAAAGTTGTAAATTAAGTTCTTTGTTTGATGCTTTTCTTACTGCAAATACTAACTTTTGTTTTTTCATACTTTAGTCTTGTTACAAATTTTTAATAATAAATCTGAAACTCATAAATTCATTTTATGTTACTGTAATGATTTGTTAAAGATGGGTAGATATAAAACAGTAGTGCTTTCTGTTTTTATTACAGCCAACCAAAAATAAATCACAAAGGGTTTATTCAATACTTTGATTTATAAAGAGTTATCACAAACACATAAAACACAAACAAAGCTATATACTGCTGTTCTTGTATAGAGCTAGTCTCTTGATATGAAATATTATCAGGAGATGTTACAAAATTGCAAGGAAAGCAAAGTCTCATCTTGTTAACAAAAACAAGTGACCACATCATTGACATTTTCTAATTGAAAAAGAAACTAAGCTTCTTGTATTACAAACTATAACCAAACATAAAGGTTAATAGGAAAAAGTTTAATTTCTTTTCTACTTACTTTCTCATAGTGGTTAATAGGTAAAATTTTCCTTTTTTCTACTTATTTTTTCCTATAAAATGCAAATAGTGACTGTGTAACTTAATATAAACATGATTACTTATCTACAAATCAGTATTTTTTGTATTCCTGAATCATTCAGCAATGAGTAAATAATCAGTATAACTGTTAATAAATAAAATAAAAATCATCAAATTTTGTTTGTTAAAATGTGTTTTTAAAAAAGACACCCATCACTGGAACCGACACTACTATGTAATCGGCAATTTTATACATTTTCTATGTAACTCTTGTTTGGAAGAAGAAAAAACATATCTTACATAAACTCGTTATTATCATTGGGAATATGTAAACAAAATAATGGAAACAAAACAATATGAATCTGATCATATATGTAAATACAAATAGTGGAAATAAAATACTGTGACAAAAAATAAGTAAAAAATTAATATTCATCATTTCACTGCATCCTAATAGTTTTTTCTACAGCTGGAAGGAAAGTCTTAGAAATATAAGAAAATGAAACATATTCCTAATTAGTAAAGATCACTGACAAAAAATCACTGTATTTAAACTGAAGTCATTATCAAATTCAATTGTTTTTTGAAATTTTGTAATTATTCTTATAACATGTATATATGAAAAAATTATTATTCTTTCATCTCTTCCCCTAGAACTATATGTCCTTCTGATATAGCATCTGCATAGGCCAGGGTGCGAGTTCCATGTTCATCCACTTTGTAGATTTCGACCACAGGAAGATTTCCGTCTTCCTGTAATTACAAAAAGAAAATTTGATAAAGTACTCAAAATGCTTGAAGTTATATATATACACCTGAAAACATTTTCATTCTGAAGAAAAGAAGCAATAAGAAATAAATATGCATATACCTTAACTACAGCACAGAATTGTTTATCTGCTGACTGCATGAAGCAACTGCTTAAACACTTCAAAGCATCTTCATCCCAAGGAGCATGAGGTCCATCTCGTGGTTCTACACAATGCAACTTTACACAGATGGCATTTGCTGGGATATTCTTCCCTTCACTTGGACATATAACCAACCTGTTGAAAGAGCAAATAAGTATGATGTTGGGTATTCTGGTATTAGGTAAACTTTATATAACTGTCAGGTTAACAAAGTCAATTCCAAATAACTCAAATATAAAATTATGATGTATTCTTTTGATTTTACTAGTACATGTTTCATTATGACTAGTGTTTATCCCTGTACTTGATACCAAGTGATCTATCATAGTACATGATACACTGTTTTGGCCTATCCTGGTACTGGCTACCCTATTTTGATCTTTCTCAGTGTGAGGTACCTAGGATCAGCCTATCACAGTAGATCCACTTCTATAAACTGCAGTATCCCTATGAAGAAGTAACTATAAAGCACTGTAAGCTTAAAGAAAAGACACTGGACTTGGGAGAAAGGGACCTGAGCGAGGGCGGTGACACTAAGTTGCTATAAATTATACCTCAAGGTAAATTCTAATAAGACTGAAGCACTACTAATACTATTGCTACCTTGACAACGCCTACTTGCATATTTAGACTGTACTATTCAAAGGCTGGAACAGCTGGTAAATGCAAGGTGAATGTTTGGCAAAAGAATTTAAATTAAGATAAGAAGTCATGTATACCATAACACTTTTTCTTTGACTAAAATTTTATTTCTCCCTCATGTACTTTCCTCTTCCTAATCATTTCCTCTCCCTTTTATTTTATTGCCATAGATCATAGACAGGCAGTAAGTTCCACCTCCAATAACAACACATATAGAGTTGGCACAATATGAGTGGGTGGGTAGAGTTACAAATCTTGTCTGTATCATCTAGGAAGGGGAAAGTACTAATGAACAGCAAAATTTGTGGCATACCCAGACTCCATTATAACAAGTGAAGACTGTATTACTGTATAATTGAAAACCTGTATGTGTTTCATTTTTCACTACCATCTCCTTAGCAAATTTTCTTACCAGTTTTGTGGTATCCTCTCAACATTACCAATGTCTATGTAAAGGACAGTAATTCCAGCTGGATCAATCTTTTTAACCTGCACTCTGCACCATTCACCTCTAAGGGATTTTCCAAGGTACATCTCACCTATATATACATGGGAAAAGATGTCAATTACTATTGGATCTAAGACACCTTACTCTGCAGAATAACCCAAACACAACTCCCTGTTTATGAAATGGAAGAGACAACCCAGTATGCATTTGAAGTGTTGTAGTAATCAATTGTGAAATAAAAGCTTCAAAATTAACTTTGTTTATCAACTAATGCTGTTACAAATATAATATATAACAGTATTAACCGGTTGATATTTATTTCAATTTTATTCATTAGCATCTTTTTTCATACACTATAAGAATTATTGAAAAAATAATTTAATTTTGAATTACTTAAATACTTATGAGGCTAAATGATATGAGATAATCAAATGTTGCTTTCATTTTATTGCATTTTAAAAACCCCATATGCTATATAGAGTTTCTTCTCAATTCTATTTCACTGTTTGAACTTGTACAGATACAGCCATTTCTGTTGGAATATGAAAGAAGGAAGTTTCTTCTCATTTCACTGACTAAAACCAAGAAAGTCAATACTGTCTCATCATGGTTTGCTATGTGACCAATGTTATAAAATTAATAATAATCTTTCACTGAAAGGCAAATTGTAATATGTGAATGCACTCAACTATATCAATACATATATTTATTGACTAAAGAAAAAAACAAAAACTGTACAAAAACATAAATTTTCTTTAATATGCCATATGCTGCTTTTAAAAGTGAGCTAAATACCACAAAACTGAAAAAATGACCATTAAAAGCCAATGTACATAATAATGTCATGTAATGTCTGATTGTATTTCAGATGAGATGCAAGTTGAATATTTACATTGTCCTGGAGAGATACATAGCTCTCAGAGTACTTACCTATCACAGGGTTTGATACAACTGAGTAGGCCTTTATATCACATGCAGCTTGCTTAATAAAATTTGTGTTTGCTATAAAATTTTCTTCGGCTAATTTCTGTGTTGCAGACAATGGTCCTTGGCCGAGAAACACTGGTGCAATATATACATGCGAGGGATCCTTGATAGCAGTGACTTTGATTGGAAAAATTTCACTTGGATCACTTGGCAGTTTGAGAGCTGGCACTGGCAGGGATAAATCCAGTACTGAATCTAGTGATACATCACTCTCAACAACCTGGTAAAAAATAAAATTGAACCTTTAAACACATTTATGCCTTGGGAGCCATAAACTCCAATTTGCCAATAAAAAAGTATTAATTCATTGGCATGGCAAGTGCATACATGCCATGTCTACTGTGATTTTTGTCAATTTTACTTACATGTAAATGACTCCACAAGAGTTTCGTCACCAAAGGTCAATTAGTTTTTTTTTTTAGATCTCTTCTAATGATACTGATAAAATGTAGAATAGAAGAAGAAGAAGAAGAAGAAGAAGAAGAAAAAAAAAAAGATCCAGAAACTCAACGAATTGGGATATCAAGTTAGATCAAGTAGGCCTATTATTCTGTTCAATCCAGGTGCCTTGCAGCAAATGCAAAGGCCAGAGCCCTGGCATTTTCATTGTGTTAGCATTTCAATCACTTCCCACTGGGTGGCATGTATGTATATGCCATGGTTATTGTGGACAAAGTAACAGATAGCATCAAACATGACCTTTCCTGCAGCGTTGGCTCATTGGAGCGAGCTTGTTTTTCTCAAATAGTAGTAATGTCATTTCTCTGGTAAAACTTTTATGTAATAGTACCCAAAGTGAAGGTAAACCTTCAAATATTTGATATTTTTAAAACTGTATCAAAATATAAGCCTTTAGGTGCCTAATGTTACCTGGAAACTACTAAACAAGCTAGGGGCAAACTGGGGAAACTATCAAGGGGCCAAGTATTGAATATTTCAGTTATTCCCGCACACAAGTATGATGATAAAAAAAATCTTAATTTCAAAACTTCATATGAAATTAAGGTTCATTTCTAATCTTCTCTCCTACTTCTTTGATAAGCAAGATTCAATATTTTGATTGCGATTGACACCTCAATGGTGGGCTATTTGGCACAATACAACACTCACAGGGGGTCATTCCAAGTTTTAAGAAACATGTTTGGGCTTATAATAAATATTTGGTAATTAGCAAAGAAAGAATGAAAATGTTGGCAGGAATTGAGTTTGAAAAAAGTCTTAGTGGACAAACTCATTTCTCAGGCAGTGAAAGTGGGTGGCTGGCAAATGGTAAGGATTGTCAGATAATGTTTGAGTCTCCATACAAAGGAGTTCCTCAAGCACTTAAACATAACCTGCAAAACTTTAAAAAAAGGAAAATATAACCTGAAATAAAATCATAATATTATAATATCTTCTAATAACCAACACTTGATAGTAAGAAATATATATAACCCACAGAATATACAAAGAATCAACTTCCAAACTCACCACATCAACACTATCTTCATATTCTAGTAGAGGCTCAACCTTTGACACTCGCTTGCACACTCTCATTTTGTCTGCTAACAAGGATGACAGATCTATTGCAACATCCAATATTTCTAAGTTCACCTGAAAAAAGAAAAGGGTTCTTATTGTCCAGTTAGCATTCGCATGATTCAGACATTTTATTCAGTTACGGTATTCAGAGAAAAGTATACAGTGCCTATTTTTCACAATTTCTTGAAATATTATTATGGAAAGAAACAAAATGCTTTTATATTTTGTTCTTAGTTGTCTTTACAGAATTATCTATGACACTTGAATAAATGATGCACTATTCACTAATCAAACACCACATGCTCATGTTTTAATCAACAAAGAAATAGTTTTCCATATTCCTTCAGCAATCACAATCACTTCATGGTTAACTTTCGTCTTACAAATAGGCTGAAATAAGTTCTCACCTTAAGTAATCCATCCTCTTTTGTCTTCTCCATAACTTGTACTCTACACTCTTTTTCGACTATAGTGCTATGAATGAAGTCTAGAAGTTTTGTTTCCCATTTACCTTTCAGCGAGTTCTAAAAGGGGAAAAAATACACAGAAATGGGATTGTGAACCAAGTAACATACACAATTAACCAAATATAATAAATATTTCAAAATCAAATTTCAAAACAAGCAAAAGGGAACCTACAGGAACAATTCCATGCAGCACAGCTCTATGGCACTGAATTGGAATATGGCTAAAGGTAATGGTTTGCCGTAACTGATTGAATGGCACTGTTTCTTCATTGCCGTAGTCAATAAACTGCACCTTCACATTTCCATCTTCCTCCCGCTATGGAAAAATAATGAACTTCATTTAAAAGGGCAAAAGCAAAATTCAAAGTGAAACTAGAATATATCAATTGAAATAGCGCAACACAACAGTGATACAAATGTAAAACTATTCCCCCAGACATGGATTTAAATCACTAATTTACTATCTCTTCCAAATTTATTTTCTTTATGATTACATCAAAATGTATTATGACCAATAATCATATGTCATTCATAAGGCATTCTGACACATGAAAATCCATGTCTGGTGCAAAAGGGCTGGGACATCCAAGCAATTGGTAAGAACAGAACCAATATTCATATGACTGAAGCACTATTTAGTTGAAACAATGCATCAATCACAAAAAAAAAAAGAAGAATTCATTTGCTAACATTTCTTAGGACTCTCACCTCACCAGTGTCCATCCACACTTCATTTCCCAAAAACTGGATCTCCATGGGAGAAATATTTGCATCAGAGTTTTACATACAGAGAAACAAAGTTCCATTTAAACTCGTTCTCCTTCCTTGTCAAGGTATGACACAAAAAAGCCTAATATAACCACTGGGAAAGAATAAAGGAGAAAAGGAAACACCAATGCACTATACATGAGGAGGTATCCAGGGGTAGCCTCATCTTCATGGACAGGAGATGAGACTTTCTGTTCTGAATTTTCTTCTTTGCTAGAGAAATTTTATTAATCAAAGACTGTAATTCAGCAACTCCTTAGCAATGGAATGACTTTGCCAGAGGAAAGAACTAACCATAAAAAGGAAAGCCACAGAAACCATGAAGATGCAGGATAGGCCACCTGCCTAGGTGACCCAACCAAGGAAAGATGTTGCCTGAGGTATGGCACTGTTTCACAGGAACTTTTGTATACTGTGCAGTGATGAAATACACATAAGCTACCCCATCTGCATGCCAAGTGGCAATGGAACCATGGGAGTACTTGTGTTATGGGCAACATACATGCACTAACATGCATATAACACTGGCCTCATCCATTAGGATAAACTAGGTGCACCAGTGTTTAAAACCTATCAAGAACAAGTGCACTAAAACACTAACCACAAACTGAACCCTCATCCATTGTCTCAGAATGGGAGATGAAAGATCTTCCAAGCAGAAATAAAGATATAAGTGTTATGCATATCCTCTTCTCCTGTGGACAGATATCTAAGCATAGATCAGTGCAAGGGAGAGATTAGGACTAAGAATAGTTAAAATATGGATTCTTTGTTTCCAGTTACATAAGATTACCCTAAGTGAATCTGGGTTTTGTTCTACCAGTTGTACTAGGCCTTTTTGTGTCAAGATGTCAAGGAGAGAATAATAACAAATATAACAAAATCACTAAGTGTAATAATATTAATAAAAACAATAACAACACAACAACAAAGTTATAATAATTTTAGTAATGAATTATATCCATATAATGGATAATATACATGGCATCACATATGGATATGGGAAAAAATCTAGCTCGAGGGGTGGGTGATGTGAAAATGCCACATGGGAAAATTTGGCTATAAGCCTGGGTGAAACACACTTGCTGTCTTGAGCATTTTGGCCAAAGGCGGGAGACAGGAATGACTCGCCACAAGTACACAAAGTTTGTGGAGGGTGATTAGACTCATTTGGTGTTTAGTAATGGGGCTTCTGCATTATTTCCATCATTAAACAAGTGTGAAATGTACTATAACTGGAAGAACAGTGGCTCAGGATCCTATTCCTGGCCAGCCGCCATGACCAGGGGCACAGGTTGTATTACAGAAAATTGAATATTTTCAAGAGGAAGAAGAAGAAACACAAATAACAAAATATCATTATCATTGTATGGAGTAATACAATACCTAAAGAGGGGTGATATCTTTGCAAGTCTATTATCATCTGGATAAATCAAATTGAATCACAAATAATGACAATGGCAAATGGCATAAAAGCTAAGAATGCTTATGCAGAAAAAGAGAAAATAGCATAGCAAAGGGGAGGCAAAGAGTCCTGTCACTGCACATGAGTGTTCAAGTGTGCCTGGCCTACAAGCCACATGCCCAACAGAATGGCCACTCAAGTAAGCCTAATGCCTGTATTTTCAGATCCAATGGGTTAATAACAATAACAGTAGAAGCAATAATCATAATAAAACACATGAGTAATGATTAGCTTCATAATCATGATGATAATGATAAAAGAAAATAATATTCATATATATCTTTTAAAAATAGATAACATAATAATATAACTAACAACTAAAACAATAATGCAAATAATGAAATGTGCAAAATGCAGAGACAAAATATAATAAGAACAAAAATAATCATTATAGAAACAAGATGAGAAAGGAATTTTATCGATATTTAAATTAATATCAAGAAAATACTACAAAAAGAGCAAATATAAAATAATAAATATGACTACATTCCGAGGACAAAACAAGGAAGTGAATCTTTACTTTTTTACATTTGATACAAGCAGACTCAATGAAGCACAGGCTCTCAAAAACTGGCAGGCTATTTTCCTGATTTTTTTTTTCAATATCAAGGGAAGGCAAGAACTATGAGGAAGTTATTCTAGTACTGTTGGGCAATTATCTTCCAGTGACAACCTCCTATACCCAATCCCATCCCTCCATCCCCTTCAACCTCTTTTATTTTTACTTTTAAAGTAAGAATTAAATAAGAATTCTTGTAATGTATGGCACTCCATATGAACAAATCCATTCCCCTGTAGCCCTTGCCCCCAAGAACAAGAGACAGCAAAGAATGGCTAAAGTACTGTGGTCTTTAGGAATGAAAGAAAAATGACTATCCAGACTATATCAACAAAGGAAGCTTGAAACCTGCCTGAAGGACTGTAGCTCTGTACCACTTTTTATCCAGATGGAACATGGCAATAACCGGGTCTCCAGGACTCCAACATAGGTCCTCGTCTGTTGCAACTGTCCCGGTAAACTGTATTGTTTGGCTCTCCCGCATCAACTCAATGTTCCGTGTATCTAAGAAAGGAGGAGATTAAAACTTATGGTTCAACTATGCTGTATGTAATATGATAAACAAACATAACTACAATCATATATTTAACTTTGAAGTGAATAATAATCCATCACTTTCCCTTGCACTAATATAGTTGGAGTCCTAACCACTTGTGGCAACAGAGATTTGAACCTCTGAACACTAGATTAGCACTCAGGCACCTTAACCCATAGAGTCAACAAGTCATTTAGAAATAAGATAAAACAGCAAGCATCTAATATACAAAAATACACACCTATTCTTTTATCTATATAAACAAAAAAGATACAAGGTAGTACTCTATCTTATTTAGGGATGAAGAGGAAGAGGAGAAGAAAAATATTCATCATAAAACCGTAATTCTTGAATGCTAAATGAAAATCATGGCTCACAGACATAACATTACTTGTAGAGACCTTTCACTGCACATTTATAACTTCTCTTAGTCACTGTAATCAGTGTTACTGAATCTAAAACTCACTTGCAACCGGCTGCAGGTAGATGACACCCTCATAATCAATATATGAAGGGATGGCGTTAAAAGTGGCGGAAGCAGGTAGAGGGCTTGAGGGCCATTCTTTTAACTTTGCAAATGGGTTTTCTTTGGTATCACAAGGCATTTTTTCTTGGTCAACTAACATTGAAAGGATACTCAAACTCTCAGCTTCCTGTAAAGATATCCCATTTTTTTAATATCCTAAAATGGATTGGCTGTCATTTGGCTAAATCCAAATTACTCTTTTCATGAAATTACTGAATTGATATGACCTTAATAGAAGTAAATCTGAAAAAAGGAAACATTACCTGTAAGCAGAAGTCTTCACAACTCAGTGCTTTTTCATAGGTGAGGGTACATGCTGAATCAGCAAGACAGCTTTTTTCAGCTACCATGGAGTTATCTGGTTGAACTGATCTGTAAAATAAAATCAATTATCATATATGTGTGCAAAAACCTACTCTATACATCAAAGAATGTCATATTTTGAATTGGAATACAGAGCATTACTGGTTGATCATATGATAACTATGTGGATACACACATTTCACCAAAATAGACAATGAATAGATACAAAAAGATTCTTTGGTGAAAATACAGTTTATATGATGAAATACTTGTGAAGAAATGTATCAAGGAAAAGAAAGAAAAGAAGGAGAAAAGCCATCCGACAACAATGTACTTGGCTGGTAATGCTACACCACACTCTATCAACAGCTCATTGATAGAGAAGGTAAGGACAGTGTTGGGTTCAAAGGGGCCTCCAACTTCCTCCTGCATCCAGCCTAGCTCCACCGGCATCACTTTGACTCCTAGTTCAGGGTCCAGCACTGACCGACCCTGGAAATGAGGAGGCACAAAGTTAATAAGAGGAAAATAGCCATGCGAAGGGGATAATTAATCAGCACATTCATTTCCCTGCAAAATCAACTAGTTTCTTTGTTTAAAACTACATGCATGATAATACTGATTTAAATATCTACTTTTTGCTTAACCAACTGATTCTCGGCACCTGTGTGGGCACTTATTGCAAGGCTCTATGGGTTTATTTCATTACCAATTGATACCTAAGGATCAGAATGTGCACTTTACATGACAACAAAATAAAGAAAAAATAGCATCTGATAATCAATCATATCCTATAATTAGACAAGATTAGATAATGAAGAGATCTGTGAAATGGATAAAAAGCAAAACTAAGTATAAAGAAAGTATATATCATACAAACAAAATATAAAAACAGATAACAACATAAACCTTGAAATCATAAAAATGAGCAAAATAAATGTGCCAAAAAAAAAAATTGGAATTGCAACTAACTCTTGAACAAAGTACTTATTAACTAGTAATAGTAACAATGACAAAATAATGCCAATTATTATTATCATTATAATAACAAAATGATGATGATAATAACAACAATAACAATAATAACAATAATTAAACAACAATAAAAACAGCAGCAGCAATGATAATTACTATAATAAAAAAAGAAAAACAATGTTAACAGTAATAATAACTAACTGAATTCAGTCTACTTTATAGTAGCAATATATACTGTGATTCTACAAAAAAATATTACATACATATGACTTGTAAGAAGATCACATTAAAGTAATACTTAATAATAGTAATAATAATAACAATAATAATAATAATAATGATAATAAAATCTTATGAGTCTTACCTTGCGCTTCATGTAAAGGTTACTGCGTGTTGACAATTCCTCTTTTAGACGGTCAAAAGTGATGCCCGGCCATCCACTCTTTCCCATAGGTGGAGCAATTCCTGCCAAGCTCACCATCAGCGCAAGATTTTGAAAACTTGCTAATCTCTCGGGTAACGGGAACACCTGAGAGTACTTTACCCATTCCATCCCACCACAATCCACCAGCAATACCTGCAAATGATGATATATACACATAGTAACTTTATATATAAATAAATAAGTAAATAAATAAGTAAAAAAGAAAGAAAGCATACATATATATATATATACACACATATATAGATATACATATATAATTATGAACATAAATATAAAAATAAATATATATACATATATATAATATATATATATATATATATATATATATATATATATATATATATATATATAATATATATATATATATATATATATATATATATATATATATATATATATATATATATATATATATATATATATATATATATATATATATATATATATATATATATATATATATATATATATATATATATATATATAATATATATTATATATATATATATATATATATATATATATATATATATATATATATATACATACATATATAATATATAATATATATATATAATAATATATATAAATATATATATATATGTATATATATATATATATATATATATATATATATATTATATATATATATGTATATATATATATATATATATATATATATATATATATTATATATATATATATATATATATATATATATATTATATAATATATATATATATATATATATATATATATATATATATATATATATATATATATATATATATATATATATATATATATATATATATATATATAACAAGTTTGAAATAAGGAAAGTTTGAAAAAAATAATGTTTCCCTTCACTTCAGTTGCCTGTATCTAATAGTGACAAAACAAAGGATTTTACTAATACTGGAGAAAGACCGACACTTTTTGACAAGTCAGTGGTGTGGGGTAAGTCATTCTAGATTTGATCCAGATCCATCACTGCCATTGCATGATTTCTTGTCATCCACACCCAAGTATGTTAAAGAACAGATTGCCAAGGAGCTTTCCCAACATGATAGTAATACAAGAAGCAATATATTACTGCGCAAGGTTACTATTTCAAAGGAATGACAGAAAAAATTTAAATCCAAAACAGCTTTTGCTTTCCTGACAAAGTGAAAATTCCACAAAAAACAAAATTTCAATATCATGAATCTATCAAACACCAAGTAGAAGCATGAAAACTGATAGCTATTTAGTTTAACAAATCTGAAATACAAACCTGAATACTGTCACAATCAAACTTTATAATCCTGGCTCGAGCACAGAAAGGTGCATGTGTCATTTTGATGGCACACACTTCTCCAGCAGCTGGCGTGAACTGCATTGGCTGTAAGAGTTGATTAAGTTCTTCATCCAACTGATTTTGCAAACTGCAAGATAATATAAGATTTAAAAATCTAAAAAGCACCTAGTAACATAAACTACTGTCTGTGTAGGTGGTTTAAAATAACACAAGAAAAAATAAATTGTGCTAAAATGTCAAAGAAAAACTCCTACTCCTGAGTATGTATTCATACAGTTTTTAAAAACACCAAGTAAAATAAAAGGGGAAAAAGTATATAAAGATGTATCAAAATCATTTATGTAGCATAATCCAAATACTTTATTAGTCAGAAAAAAAAAAAAAAAAAAAAAAAAAAAAAAAAAAAAACACTGTATTAAAATGTATCAAAATCATTTATGTAGCATAATCCAAATACTTTATTAGTCAGAAAAAAAACATTGTGACCATATCATATCAAAAGTATTAATAAGGATAAAATAAAATATACTAACTCTCTAAAAATTCCTGCCTGGGAAGCAAGACGTATCTGGATGCGACAAACTGACAGAGCCGTCAAGAATTCCACCAGAACACATCGTTTTCCTGCACAGACTGCACCTGGTTTTAAAACTGGTGCCTGTAATTTAAGGCAATCTAAAATTAAAATGCATGTGCATTTGATAACTGTAACTTCATCCATCTAAAAAGTGACAACCAATAAATAGTTTTATTGTTTTCATTCCTCATTCCAGCATGCTTATCTTTTATTCTTATTTCTATTTTCACCCTACTTTAAATTCTAGTATCTTTAACATTACATCTTATTTTCTTGGAAAATTCATCTCAATGTTATGACAATTAGATCTTTTCCTTAACTATCAATATCATTACTGTTGTCCTTATCATTTATATCATGATTGTCATAGCGCTATAATGAGATTAAAAAAATAAATAAATAAATAAAAAATAAATAAAAAAAAAAATAAATAAATAAATAAAGAAAGAAAGAAAGGGATCATTAGGTAAGATAGGATAAGTCATGCCATCCATACACACTGGATTAAGAAAATAAAGATAAGAACTATCCAAACAATACAAGGAAAAATTCTGGACATAGTAAAAAAAACTAATAATATAGAATTGGAAATAAGCATGGATATTAATGAAAGTAATTAGTTATAATCTACCTTTGGTGACTGAGTCTATAATACTTTATGTGTGAGATTTATATAGGTTAACCATAACAATGTCTCCCAGTTACAATGCTATTCATATTGGCCTAATTCATGGTTTTAATTATTTTTACATTTTCTAAAGGTAAGTAAAAAAGATCATACCTGCATTTGTTTGAGCTGTTGCAGAGCTCTTTTACACCTGCCTTGCCTCTTGTTCTGCATCATTTCACCCCCAAGCATGAGACGCAACGCCTGATTCTTCTGATAGTGGATCTTGCTGCTCGAGATAGATGTATTACAAGACAAAACAAAATAATGCTTTCTACCCTAAAATAATAATACATACTTGGCTACGTATAACACAACCAAGAAATAGAGGTGTTGAAATAAACAGATAAATAATCGAACAAAAAAGGATGCTGATATATAAAAGATCATAAAATAAAATCTTTGTCCATTAAATCACTTACAAGTTTTCTGGTGCTTCTGCAACTCCAAGCTCCATTAACTGTTCTCCAATATCTTCAGGCTCTTGTGTGCAGACCATAAGACTAACAATACACTCATCATTTTCAGAAGTATGGAAGAATGCCTGCAAAAAATGGAGGTTTGACTAAGGGATGGAAAATAAGATAGAGAGTGAGAATATGGAGTATGAGAGAGAGCAAGAAGAGAAAGAAATAAAGAGAGAGAGAAAGCGAGATATAGGGAGAAGGAGAGGAAGAGGGAGTTGACTTGGGATTGAAAGAGCAAAACAAATAAGAGAGAGAATGGTAACATTTCTTCAAGAGTCAAAACAATTGTGATCATAATAAAACAGTTGCAGAATCACCCTTCACCTTCAAATCCTTGCCATCACAAATAGTGGCCATGTGTTCAGCAGCATTTTCAGACCAACTGTCACCAATAGGATTGATGTCCTGTAGACGGCACTTAATAGCCTGTATTTTGATGGAATATTTTATTATTTATATTTATTATTACAGTCCATATCAGAGAATTCTCAATATTTCTATAGTAAACCAAAATTTCATTTCTTCAGCCTTCTCAAAAAGAATAAAAGAAAAAACAAATGCAAAATACACAATACATGAAAATCTACATAAAATCAACATCATAAAAAATACACCTTGTATTAACCTATTCATCATTTGCAATAGAGTTCTCAACTTTCTTAATATATTCTCAAGATTTATTTCTCCAATCAATGATAATGATAATGAAAATTGCCCTAAAATCAAACATAAAAAAGTAAATAAAGAAAGAAAGATTAAACAGAGAAAAGAAGAAGAAGAGAAGATATACCTGAGCTGGCAACTTCAAGAAATCTTCAGTTATCTTATAAAGTTGCTTGTACCACAATCTTTCCCTATTGCCATAGTCAACATATCTTACATCCACTTGTTTCTTTCCAGGAATGTCTTCAATGATAGCCCTGTACCACTTGTCATCCCCTGTATACAAGGCAACACATGGCATGCCTGAAAGAAGTCAATCAGTAAGGAAATAAAAGAAAAAAATAACTGCAAAAGCTGATAAAAAAAATATGTAACTACTGAGCTGCTTAGCATGGTGAACAGGGAAGACATGTTACATTACCAAACCCAAAATTCTGTTAAATGAGAGCATTAGCAAACAGGAAATTATAACAATTATCTTACTTCTTACTTACAGTATGGTAACTAAGCCTATGACATGATTGAAGAAGGAAGCTAAACTGCAATGTAAGAATACGGCAGTAGGAGTAAATGCATGTGTGAAGGAACTAGCAACATGGCAACACCTCAGTGACAAATGGTTCCTACCTATGCATATGTCTTTAATCAAAAACAGTTACATTTCACTAATGAGTAAAGTTGCAAAATAAGTGAATGTCGACTAATTTTGGCCAAAATATTCAGAAGTCAATGTTACAGACCCAGATGTCACCTATAATGGAGGGGACACTATTCATTTCTAATATAAGCCTATTCATACAATAACAATATGGAACACAACTGACAACTGAGGCAATTCTAGTAATATTTCACATTAGTTTGTACAGTTCTCAGACTGACATGTATTTACTTAGAACTCTGGGGAGTTTGTTACCCCTATGCTAAATTCCTCACAACTATTTGAAAACATCTTTAAATGTAAATGTGTAGCATTTTAATAGTTCAAAGAGAAAAAGTGTTGAAAAAAAATCTTTAAAAGTCTGGTAAGTCTGCTAATAAATCTGAAAGAAAACCAAAGATACTATCCTTTCCCAATTCCCCCTTAAAAAAGAGTTTATTCATTAGTTCCAAAGTGAAAAATACAAAAGACAAAGGGAAACCAAAAAGTCAGTAAAAAGACACCTTTACATTAATAAAGTCATACCTATTCGAGGTGCATAAATGCGCCAATCAACAGTAGCAGCCACTTTGGGTGACCTATAGTGCTTTTGTATTTCCTCCATCAATTTGGTGAGATGAGTTGCATATGAAGCAAGTTGTAGACAGAAGTCATGCGGAGTTGTGAGACTGGAGAGTAACACGCTGGTGCCGTCTTCCCCAAAAGGAACCTCTTGTCGAAAGTATGACCTCTTCCAAATAGATGCTGCTTGCTTATTGTGCTGCAATTAATATGAAAAAGACAGACTTGTTGAATACACTACCCAAGTCTACTCTTTATGTACAAATTCTTTTCACAAACAAATATTCTTACAACAGTAAATAATAATAAACATTTTGTGTGTGTGTGTGATATATATATATATATATATATATATATATATATATATATATATATATATATAATTATATAAATATTATATGTATAAAATATATATATATATACACACACACACACACATATATATATTCGTCATCTCACCATATCTTGCGCAGAATAATTGACATAAATGGCACACTCTAAGAAGATGAGGACTTCTCGGATGGAGAGTGGACTATCATTAGCTATGCCGGCTATAGTTGATGGTCTCCAAAGATCTACCTTTTTAGGGTATAAAGTTTAAATGACACATCACTACACAGGCATGTGTAAAATAAATTTGATATTGCAACCCCTCCTTAAAAAAAGGAAAGAAAGAAAGAAATAAAGAAAAAAAGACAAATACTATTTTCAGAAACAGATGGATAGAGAAAACGACATTTACAGAAACAAATGCACAAGAAAAAATATACAAGTAGCTAAAATTTCTTCATTGAACATTTTCTGAAACTCCAAACCCCGAATACCAAACTGTGTTGGCAACAAACCTGGTAAATTCCTGTTTCACTTTCTTTATCTTCAACATGGAGCAACTTCAGATGAACATTGTTCACAAGTTCAGCAAATACATTAATGGCATCTGAATCCCAAAGGTTTCCTTTAGCAGGTAAAATCTCCCACAGTCCACAAGCATACAAAAATGCTGGGAATCTTTCCAATTTGTACTCTGGTGGACATGGCCTAAGCCTGTAATTTTTTATGACAAAATCATACAATAAACAAATAAGAATCCTGATTTGAGTTATAACTCATGAATTTAAACAATAACCTAAACAAGGAAAAGTGAAAATATATCTATGTATATATATATATGAAATATCAGAACATACAATGACATATTAAGACATACCTTTGCACTTTGAGAATTTCACTATTTCCATAATCCACATACTTGACACATACTTCTTTCATGTCTATTGCTACAGAAGTTACAACAGCTCGATACCATACATTGTCTCTAGTGTACTGTGCCAAATACAGTTTTCCTAAAATTATAAAATGAAAAACATAATATCAGTCTAACAAAATTAATGTCCAATATGCTTTATATCAACTATTTTTCATATCCACATACAGTACAGTACATTGTTTTGTGTGCCTCGATATCTTTATAACATAAACGCTAAAGAGAAGCACAAGGGTTTTCTTTAACCCAATCAAGACAGGAGCCCTTAGTGCCATACTGAACAATGTGTCAGGGTGTGGAGTCAGCTGCTCAAGGGAAAAGTAAAATTACCCTGCTCTCTATGCTCTTGGTTGCAACATCAACAATTCTTTGGGTTATGATCCTAAACTGAGGCTTTATGCCTATTTTAAAAGGCAAATCTCTCCTCAACAGATGTAACTGGGCCAAACAACAACACAACTGTTTAGCATGCACAATCAGAGTAAGCTTGATCATGCATGATGTGAAGTTATCATCGCAGTGTGAAGGGTGGCTTACTATGGCATGATGGCGTGTGATAGGCTGTTATCCTAGTGTGGGTTAAATTCACATTCTTAGAAAACTTATAATCATTCAAATGTAAACAAGAGTATTCTTACCAACAACAGGATTTGTTGTTAAAACTTTACTCTCTCTGGCAATAAGATTAATCACTTTTGACATTAATTGTAGTTTTGCTGAATCTGCTAGTCTCTGAATGTAGAACACAGATGGATTCTGAATATGAGTGACAATCACTTCATCATTTATTACAACTGGAAAGGAGAAAAATTGAAAATCAATCAATAATATATGTATGTATATGTGTGTGTGTGTTTATATATATATATACATATAAATAATTATATATATAGATAAATATATATATATATATATATATATATATAATATATACATATATATATATATATATATATATATATATATATATATATATATATATATATATATATTATTATATGTATATGTATATGTATATGTTTTCTATTACAAGAATAGTTTATACATGTAACCTGCACAATACACTCAACCCTCTGCTATCACACATTCTGCTATTGTGAATTACTGCTATAACATAGAACTCAAGAAGTTAACACTCCTATGCTTACATGATATCATGCATAAAATTTGGTGCATCGGTTTTGAAATTATACAAGTTGTGCACTTGACATTATGCCAACTTTCATGGCTGTCCTAAGCTAATGATTGGTCAACATTACAATATCTGAAACTGAACAAACAGTACAGTGCTTGATAGGATATGTGTGTTATCAGCAACAAATTACTATTTGCAAGTTTGAAAAATGGCTGATACACCAAAGAAACCCCTATCAATCTCTGAATGAAATGCAGTGAAACCTAGAAGTGCAGAAAACATAAATTTACCTCACTCTCTATGCTATTGGCTGCAGAATAAACAACTGTTTGAGTAATGAGGCTAAAATATAGCTGTAAGCCTTGTTTTGAGGGGTTGTTACATCTCCGCGACCATAGATAGAGCAAAACATGTAAAAAGTTGTTTAGTGTGAATAATGTAGAAATGATTCAATCACACATGAAGTAATGTCACCCTTGCATGACGGAAGGTCTACATTGCATTGTTGTGACAGGGTTAATTTTCAAGATCCACTTGCATGAATTTCTGTTATCATGCACAGGTGTGTAATGAATAAGGTACAATAGCAGAGGGTTAGGTGTATATATATCATAGTTTTAAAAAACCCTAAGGAAAAGGTAGCTACAGCTGGTATTGTAATCTGTATTCATGTTAAAATTACTCTTAATATGTCTACCAAAATCCTTCTCCTTCTGCCATTCATATAATTTCAAACTTTCAAGTCCACAAATCAGCAGAAAAGACTGTTCATGTGAAATCAAGAATCAAAGATATATTCACTACCTTGCAAACTGACTGATTTCAAATTAAGCTAGCAGTGCTACACCTACTACTGCTATGCTTAATTTACTACTGCTACGTTTAATTTTTTTTTTCAAAACAATCCCTCCTAATGTTACAGTTGGTATCTATATTTCTATTATTTTTATCTGACTAGTATCAGTAATCATAATAATCTATGACACTAATTCAAATAACACATCTAATGTGAAAAATAAACCATACATCTGAAAATATGGTAATTCCTCGTATTCCCTAATAGAACCAAATGCATTACTGAATAAAATAATAAAGATTCTATAATGTAACTAGATGTCTTCTGAAAACAAGTTATAACAATAACACGAATGAAGAAAGAAGCAGTGACACAGAAAAAGATGGACTGAGGAAGAGACAAAAAATATCAAAATCAAATCTACAGAATACTGTGAAAAACATCAAGCATAAATAAAAACAGAATAGGAATGCCTGTAGATAGAAATACTAGATCTAGAAAGGAACATGATTTCTTGATTGAATGCCTCATGGATAAGATTTGTTATCAAATACTTATCATATAGAACTTTACTGATCACTGAGAATTCCCAAGTGTGGTGAGCAGTTAATAAAGTACAGGAATCTATTTTGAATCATACATGTAGCATTTTTTGATGGCTGAATAGAAGTTGCAACACTTGATGGTTGGGAGTGTAAACTTGATATGGAGACACTTTTCCGCAAACTCCTCAATGACCACGCCTTTGGCCTTGCTCCATGACCTCTCCAGTCCTTGTGAGAAAAAGGGTAAGAAATCAGTCAGATAATAAATTAGGGTTCTTGTGAATAATTGCCTTTACACAAGATGGCTTTATAAGTACTATGTCACAAAGCTATCAAATACAAGTATAATCTACCTCACCTGTTTACCCTTATCTTTGATTTTCAGAAATATTCTTTTGCCTTATAGTGATATTAGTACTGTTAAAGACATTCAAATAATCATTGTGTATATAATAAAAATAACAGCATCGATATTGAAAGCATTAGTAAACATAACATTTTTCCCAAAAACTCTAAGGATAGGGGAAATCAAGTGAGGTTATGGGAACTACAAACTGAAATTCTGGTGACAGAGCACTAGTGGAGCCATGTATGTGTAGAGACATTTCACAAAATAAAACTAAAGTGAACATTAAATATCCTGACAGCATGGGGTTTGTTACAAATACAAATAGATTATAAACATTTGCTTCAGAGCATTAATTCATCAACTAATGAAGTGAAGAAAAGAAAAAAGCTGAAAAAGACAAAAAACAATGTTAAAGTAGCAGAAGCAGAAAAAGAAGACTGTAGACACACAAAGCAAAACTTGAATACAAGTAATTATATATATTCTTACTTTTGAAACTTTACAAACATTATCACCACTGTCAGGAATATCTGTAAAGTTGTAATTGAAATCACGGACTGCAGGATTATTGCCAGTCTCCTGGCTATTTGGAGTTGATTCCAAAGTACCATTCATTGCTGCAACTGCTTTTGTGGGGTCAGATTTGCTGATAGAGTCCTCTTTCTCAACATCATCATCTTTTTCAGGATGGGCATTTACTGGCTGGAGATCATTAACTGAACACTCTATTTCTTTGGATGTCTCTGAAAAAGTTTGACTAACTATATCATACAATTTTCCGCACAGATATTGAGTACTTAGTCACATAGTTTCGAAAGTAATGCTTTACATGGAATAGGTAAAATTTAACATACAGTATCAGAGGTATTTGATGCTTGTTTAACACTATTACATATAAAACATTATCACAATTCAAGATATAAATGATGGACTAACTCTATGTGGATAGTTTAGTGAATTTCAGTAATGAGACAAAACTGCACAACAACAAAGAAGATAATTTTATTTACAAACTACAAAACTGCATGTCATGATAATAATGTAAAAATATATCCATATTACAGGAAGAAATAATAACAATTTTCTATTATTAGGCAATTTACTGAATAAAAGACAACACAAACAAAACATGTACTGCTAATTTAGGTTACACAGAAGGTACAAGAGAAGAAAACAGACTACAGCAACAACGACACCACGACAAATGCCCCCACCAACCTCCATCACCATCGCCTTCTCCCTCTCCCTGTCCTTGCTCCTCCTGCTTGGAGATAAGGGAAAACCTGTCATGGGTGTCGATAACCCTTATGCAGTTTGGAATGATCTCCTGTACAATCTCCTCCAGCTCATTGACCACCTCCCACCTGTGGAATGTAGGTGGTAAAATTTATTAAATGTACAAATAAAAAGCAGAAAAAAACAAATAGTATTGATAATAATAATGTTATGGTCAATAACAAAGAAAATGGGTAAACAAATAATGAAAATAAAAATATTAACCATGATGGTAATAAAGATGATAAAAAAAAAAAATATATATATACATCAATAATAATAATAATAACTAATCAATAAAAACCTTTCTTGACCAGTATTAGAACCTTTACAACTAGACATATAACCGACAATGCGAATACTATACAAACTAGACCCAACTAAAGGACTGTGCAACTTGGATCATACTACCTCCACAGACATTACCAATTTACTCAAACTATCACTCATACATTAAATAAGGCC